AACAAAAAAGTAGAAAGACGAATTTTCATTCTTAAACGAAAAAGTGTAGAAATGTAGAAAGGAGTGGGGCGAAATAGAGGGTGAAAAGAAAAGAAGAAAATCGAAAGAGAGACAGACGTACGGATAGACAGACAGACAGACACACTGACACAGACAGACAGACAGACAGACAGACACACTGACACGCAGACAGACAAACGGACAGAAAATCAAGAGACAAAAAAAAAAAAAAAAAAAAAACAGAAAGAGAAAGAAAAAAAAATCACTGAGAAAATCGACAAAGTAATAAATAAGCAACCAAACGAAGAAATAATAGACGCAGATACATAAAACACGAAGCCAAGACCACCGATTCAACCAGGAACACGCCGCCACAACGAAACAAGATATTTAAGTGTACAAAGTAAATGGTTTTGTTGTATGCAGATAAAGCGCATGCAGAGGCGAGGTTTGACGCAGTGAGGAGGAGAGGAGGCGAGGACAATGAGTTCGGAATGAGCATTTCTTTGTTTTATTGGACTTCGTTTTGTGTGATTTGTTTGTGGGGCGTGTTTGTTTTGGGTGTCGGTGTTCGGTCTGGTGGTTTGTCTGTCTCTGTCTCTCTCTGTTTGCTTGTTTGTCTCTGTCTCTCTGTCTGTTTCTGTCTCTCGCTCTTTTCTTTTTTTCTCTTTTTCTCTTTTTCTCTTTCTTTCTCTCTGTCTGTCTGTCTCTCTCTCTCTCTCTCTCTCTCTCTCTCTCTCTCTCTCTCTCTCTCTCTCTCTCTCTCTCTCTCTCTCTCTCTCTCTCTCTCACCCTGTCTCCCAACCCTCCCTCCCTCCCTCCCTCCCTCTCTCTCCTCCTCATCTCTCTCTCTCTCTCTCTCTCTCTCTCTCTCTCTCTCTCTCTCTCTCTCTCTCTCTCTCTCTCTCTCTCTCTCTCTCTCTCTCTCTCTCTCTCTCTCAATTTTTTTTTTTTTTATCCTAGCATTATTATTGTTGTTATCGTGATGGTGTTGAGAATTATGATAGTGATTATGATGATGTTTATTATTATTATTATTTTTATTATTATTGTTGTTGCTGTTATTATTTATCTATTTATTTATTTGTTTATTTCTTCATTTTACATAATCTGGTGCATTTGACACCCCTGGTGCCCTGACGAGAGCGGAATCTGCTTCAGAGTCGATCACACTTTGTCGCAGTGTGCGGGGTCGGCCTCCAGAGCCAGGGTCGGGCGGCCTACAGGAACCTCAGGTTTTTTTCTCTCTTGGCCTCTCCGCCCTCGCCGCCGTCGCCCGCCTCGAGCCCTTGGTTCTCTTCGTTGGTCTTGTCGTTCTTCTTGTCTTGTTGTTTTTTGTTTTTCTTTTTTTTCGTTTTTTCGTTTTTTTCGTTTTTCTTTTCTTTCTTTCTTTCTGTCTTCATTTTCTTCTTCTTCTTCTCCTTCTCCTCCTCCTCCTCCTCCTCCTCCTCCTCGTCCTCGTCCTCGTCCTCCTCCTCCTCCTCCTCCTCCTCCTCCTCCTCCTCCTCCTCCTCCTCCTCCTCCTCCTCCTCCTCCTCCTCCTCCTCCTCCTGCCAGTTTATCAGCGAGACCGATATGCCCTTCCGCTTCTGCAGTGCGAGGGGGGGTGGGGGGTCAGATCTCTCTCTTAAAAAAAAAAAAGGAAAGAATAATCGTGAATAGATGAAGGAGAGGGAATAAATGAAGGATAGATTAGGAGAAATGAGAGAGGAGAGAGAGAGATAGGAAGAAAGAGTGGGTGGGGGGAGGTAGGGAGAGGAAGATAAAAAGGAATAGGGGAAGGGTGAGGGAGAGAGAAAGGGAGAGAGGGAGAAAAAAAGAGAGAGACAGGAAAGAAAAGAAAAAGACTGAGGAAGACAGACACACACACACACACACACACACACACACACACACACACACACACACACACACACACACACACACACACACACACACACACACACAAAGAAATAAATGAAAATATATAAATAAATAAAAGAAATAAGTAAATAAAATAAGTAAAAGATATCTTAAGTAAGTAATAAAATGTCAGGCGTTGAACTTTTATATCAAATATATCCTTTTTTATAGCGTATGCGTAATTTGATAGAAGAGAGAGAGACCGTGATGACGAAAAGAGGTAGACGATTATGAAGAAAAATGAGTCTTTCATGATAATAATCTCTATTGGGAGACAGTAATAGGAGTAATAGTTATTTTGTTATAGAAGGTATTATTGGACTAACAATGGCAGTAATTATGTGACGATTGTGGGAGTAGTAACTGTAGTAACAAAATAATAGTAGTTCAAACATTAGTAGTAATAATAGTTGTAATGGCAGCAATAGGGAAAATACAGGTATTAGTGTTGGTAGTTATGATGTAATATTAGTAGAAATGATCGTAATTTTAGTAGTAACGATGGTAATTTTAGTAGAAATGGTAAAGTTTAGTAGTAATGACGATAACTTTTGTAGTAATGATGGCAATTTTAGAAGTAGTGGCGATCATTTTAGTAGTAATGATGGTAACTTTAGTAGTAATGATGGTACCTTTAGTAGTAATGATGGCAATTTTAGAAGTAATGATGATCATTTTACTGTTAGAGTAATTACGGAGAGATTGTTGTCTGCCATTTTCAAATCTCATTTCTGATTGGCTGGAGAGATTTCCTTAGTTTCGGTCAGTTCCGCTTCCTCTTAACCGCCTCTTTAAGACTTCCAGGATTTCGTTCGGATGCGTTTCGTCTTCTCAGAACGTTAAAGGAAAAAAAAACGACCATTGAATGAAAGTCACTGTCTGAGGGGTGGGGGTGGGGTGTGGATGGGGTGGGGGTGGGGGGAGGGGAGCCGAGGATGCCTTCTAGTTGATGGGAAAGATTGTCATGTATCTTTATGTGCGAGATGAACACACACGCACATGTACGTGGACCCACAGGAGGAGGAGGAGGGGGGGAGGTGAGACGAGGAGGTGGAGAGGAGGAGAGGATGAGGAGAGGAGGAGAGGAGGAGGAGAGGATGAGGATGGAGAGAAGGAGAAGGAGGAGGAGGAGGAGGTAGGAGGAGGTGGGGATGGGGGGGGCGACGTGTGCACACATGCATGTGCATTTACATTGGTTTATGTTTTTTGTGCATATGTGTATATATTTATTCATATTTATGTGCATTATGTATAACATTCGTTGATGGATACAGATGTTTATGTATATATGTTTATATGGATATTATATATATATACGTATTTATGTATGTGTAGCATGAATGTTTGGATGTATATATGCATTCATGCTTGCAATAAACCGATACAAGAAGACGAAACAAGGTAACCAATGAGATACCCGGAGAAGAAAAACGGGAATAAAAGGAGGGAATTGAGAGAGAGAGCGAAAGAGAAAGAAAGAGAGAAAGAGAGAAAGAAAGAAGGCCAGAAAGAAAGAAAAAGAGAGAAAGAAAGAGAGAAAGACAGAAAGACAGAAAGAAAGAAAAAGAGAGAAAGAGAGAAAGAAAGAAAGACAGAAGACAGAGAACGAAGGTGATTCGTGCCAATCAGTGGCGTTGTTGCTCGCTAGTGACGCTGCGGGCGCCCTTCCTGCCTGGTTTTGTTTGTTTGTTTGATTTGATTTGATTGCGGTGGCGGTGACGTCATCATACTGGCTACGCTACCGATAATCGCGTGTTTGACGTCACTCGCATCAGATGTGCTGCTTCGGGGGAGGAGGAAGAGGAAGAGGAAGAGGAAGAGGAAGGGGGAGAAGCAGAAAGAAGAGGAGGAGGAGGAGGAGAAGAAGAAGAAGGAAGAGGGGGAGGAGAAGGAGGAGAAGAGAAAGAGAAAGAATATGATAATAATATTGATGATAATAAGACAAAGGAGCTGAAGGAGGAAGAGATGGAGATGGAGAAGGAGAAGGAGAAGGAGAAGGAGAAGAAGAAGAAGAAGAAGAAGGTGAAGAAGAAGAAGAAGGTGAAGAAGAAGGTGAAGAAGAAGAAGAAGGTGAAGAAGAAGAAGAAGAAGAAGAAGAAGAAGAAGAAGAAGAAGAAGAAGAAGAAGAAGAAGAAGAAGAAGAAGAAGAAGAAGACTCAAACAACAACAAATCGCGCACACCACTCCAAACCGGTTCCGCGGCGACCACGTGAACGAAACACTACTCCCTGTGACCCCCAACGAGGCATAACACTCTCCCCCCCCCCCCACACTTCCCTCCTCTCCCTTTCATTTCTCCTTTTCTTCCTTCCTTCCTCCCTCCTTCC